AAAAGCTCTAAGGAAAAGCTCTAAGGAAAAGCTCTAAGGAAAAGCTCGGAAACTACAGACCAGACAGCCTTAAGTCAGTGGTGGGCTAGTTGTTGGAGGACATAAGGGACAGAATTTACATGTATTTGGAAAGGCCAGAACTAATGAGGGATAGTCAGCATGGCTTCGGAGTAGAAAATCGTGTCTTACTAACTCGATTGAGTTTTTTTGAAGAGGTGACAGAGATTGAAGGCAGAGCAGTAGACGTCTAAATGGACTTCACAAAGCATTCGCCAAGGTTCCATGTGGTAGACTAGTTAGTAAGGTTAGATCTCATGGGATCCAGGGGGAGCTAGCCAATTGGATACAAAATTACTTTGAAATGTAGGATGATGGTGGATGGATGTTTTTCATATTGGAGGCCTCTGATCAGTAGTGTGCCACATGGATCAGCGTTGAGTCCACTACATTTTGAATTTCAAATAAATTATTTGGATGTGAATATAGGAGGAATGGTTAGTAAGTTTGCAGATGACAGCAAAATAGGTGGTGTAGTGAATAGTGAAGAATATTACCTCAGAATACAATGGTACCTTGATCAGATGGGCCAAAGGGCTGAGGAGTGGCAGATAGAGTTTAATTTGGATAAATGTGAGGTTTTGCATTTTGGTACGGCAAACCAGTGCAGGGCTTATACAATTAATGGTAGGGCCCTGGGGAGTGCTGCCGAACAAAGAAATCTTGAGGTTCAGGTGCATAGTTCCTTGCAAATGGAGTCGCAGGTAGACATGGTGGTGAAGGCAGCTTTTGGTGGGGGAATCCAAAACTAAAGGACACAGGTTTATCATGAGAGGTGAAGGATTTAAAAGGACCTCTGGTATAACATTTTAATGCAGGGAGTGGTGTGTATATGGAACAAGCTGCCAGACGAAAAGGCGGAGACAAGTACAATTACAACATTTAAATGGCATCTGGGTGGGCACATGAATAGCAAAGGCTTAGAGAGAGATATAGGCAAAATGGGACGAGGTCAGATTGGGATGTCTGGTCGGCTCGGATGACATGGACAAAAGAGTATGTTTCCATGCTGTGTGACTCTATGACTCTAAGTGAAGACTGATGCCAGAAATGTCCCCGTTTTAAGCCAGGTGATGGATCTGGTACTAAAAAGAGATCCAACACTAACAACTCAGAACTTAAGCCACACGTGTTACGGTAGATGGAAGTTCGCAGTTCAGAACGGACAGTGTACAATGGGGAATGAGAGTGATCGTCCCTCTAAACATATGATACAAGGCACTGGAGTCGTGCCCTGGGGTGATTCAGGAGGGGTGAGGATGAAGGAACTCACTAGGAACTATTTATGGTGGCCAAACAGAGAAACCCAATCGATGAAAAAGCTAGCTCATGCAAGGCTTATGTCAAAAATAGAAATGCACAGCCACTGTTGTCAGGACATCCCTGGGAGAACTGTGGCAACATGCCTACATGGATTTTGCCAACCCCTTTGAGGGTCAAATGCTGCTGAAGGCAATTGATGCTCATTCTAAGAGGTTAGAGGTAGCAGTAATGAAGTCCAGTCTTGCAGACCTGAGAATCGAGAAACTGGACAAAACATTTGCGAGGTTCAGTAATCCTTAGCAGAATGTGTGGCAATAGTCCTCAGTTCCTCATGTAGGAATTTACTGACTCCATGAAATGTAGCACATTAAGTCAGTACCCTATCATCTCTCAACCAATAGTTGTGGAAAGTTTTCTACAATCGTTAAAGCATTCACTGAAAGTGTCAAAGAGGGACCCCTGATCATTAGTCAGTCATCAATCAAGAATGGTGTTTTGGTATAGCCATGTACCAAAACACATTTCATGCCACAATAACCCCAGATGTCCAGAAGGAAAATTAACTCCAAGAGGTGCTTTCTTCATTAGGTTGACCAAGTACTGGTCCGGAGCTAAACCACGACTGACAAGTGGGTACCTGCTACGGTCCTGGCCCAGACAGGTCCCATTTCCTACACAGTCCACACACGGGACAAGATCATGTGGCTTGGGGATGCCGATCAGCTGTTAACAGCATACCCCCAAATATTGGAACCATCCAGCATCACAGGGCCTCAACTTTGCTTCCTGAAGGCAGCACACTATCCCTGAAGTAACCCACTAAAGAGTGAAGATACCTGCCCCTGTGGAAAAACCTGTCTGTAGCTCTTTAAGGACTAGTCCTCTTTACCCAAGGTTCCCAGGACCACCCCTCAGTCTCCCCCAACACAGAAGTAGAAAGATAGCTGATACAAAACAGGTACCAGCCAAACAGCTTCTTATGAAATGATTCTCCTGGTTGTTGTACCTAACAGGACTGTGCACCATGTCCTTGTAAATAGTTTTGCTGCTTATGCATATACGCTGTGTTCGGAACTACGCAAAAACTGGGGTTGTCTCTTTAAGGGCAAGTTTTAAAGTAAAGGTGCAGGGGTGTTTTGTATTGTAATTGGTGTATGTTATATTGGGACAGTGTCCCTTGAAGAGGTGAGTCACATGACACTGGTGAATGTTCAGAAAGTGCTCTTGGGCTTGTTCAGATTTGATTGAACTTTGTCAAAGTGCACAGCTTTGGAATAAAAAAAACTTTCCCCGTCAGGTTGTAGCAAGCAACAAATTCTTATGTTCTTAGTCCTGACTGCAGTCTGTTAAGTGCTCAGTACAGAATGAAGAGGACCTACCATCCATGGTTAATTAAAGTTAAGAAAAGCATCAGACTCAGGGAAAAACCCATATAATTAGTAAATGATGATTTGCCATCTTTTATCTTCCATCTAGTCACTTGACGTGCAAAATTAAAAGGTTAATCAGGAAAAAGCAGCTAGCTGTGAGAGAAGCTAGCAAGAAAAGTAAAAAAAAACAGATAAGAAGGTTTCTACAGGTATTTAAAAAGAAACGAAAAAAGAGCAAATGAAGTGTCAATTTTCCAAAGACTGAGAATGGGAGTTAACAGCAGATAATAAGGAAATGGTGGGTGAAAAGAACAAATATTTTGATTCTGCCTTCATCACAGAAGATCAAAAATCAGGTAGTGGAAGGGAAAGGGAACTTGATAAAATTACAATCACTGTGGAACTGGTTCTGAGAAAACCAATGGAGCCGTCGGCTGTGATGTCTCTGGGTCCTGGTAGACATCATTTCTAGGGTTTCTTAAAAAAAAAGGCTACAAAGAAGGTATAAGATGCTTTGGTGCTCAAATTTTCCAAAATTCACTAAATTCAGGAATGGTTCCAACAGACTGGAAAACCGCAAATAATAACTTCTCTAACCAAGGAAAGGAGGCAGAAAACAGGAAACAATGGGGCACTAGGTTGACACCTGTCATGGGGAAGATGTTCAAATCAATCAATCAAGGAGATTATAACTGGATAGTTAGTGAATCTGAAGGTAACTGGGACGAGTTTCTACTGTTTTATGAAGAGGAAAACCATGTTTAAACTATTAATTGGGATTCTTTGAAGTTGTAACATACAATGAAACTAAAGGGAAGACTGTAGACTTCTGGACTTGGATTTCTCAAATGCATTTGACAAGATGTCACATCAAAAAGGTTCTGTGCAAAATAGGAGTTCATGGCATACTCGTTAAGATAGGAACATGGATAGATGGTTGGCAGTAAACACAGTACGCATAAATAGGTGTTTTTCTGATTTCAGAATGTGATAATGGGTCATCCCAAAGGGATTTGCGCTGGAGCTCCAGCTCTTTATAATTATATCAATTAGTTAGATAAGGGGAGTGAAGGCATAGTAACTAAATTTGCAGATGACACAAAGATAGGTGTGAATAGTACACAGAGGTTGAAGATGATATAGATGGGTTGAGAGAGTGGGCCGAATTCTTAAAAATGGAGTAGAAATTGGGAAAAGGAAGCTGTTCACTTTGGCCAGCAGAATAGAAAAAAAAAGGATTAATCAAATGAAGAAAGATTACAAGATTCCAAGGTGTGCAGAGATCTAGGTGTTTCAGTGCATAATTCACAAAAAGGTTAGTATGCAGATACAGCAATTAAACGGGCTAATGGAAAGCTATCCTTTATTATGAGAGGAATTGAACATGAAAGTAAGAATGTTGTGTTTTGGTTAAACCGGGAGTTGTTCAAACCTCATCTCAAATAGTGTGTGCAGTTTTAGTTGCCTTATTAAAAGGATGGATGTAAATGCATAGGAGGTTATTCAGGGAATGTTCACCAAATTAACACCTGGAATGAGTAGGTGGTCTTGAGGAAAGGTTGACCAGACTGGGCTTCTTTCTCTGGGAGTTCAGAAGGGAGCTCATTGTAGTGTACAAAGATGCTAAAAAGTCTTGGCAATGTGGGGGAGTCCAAAACTGGAGGGCATTGTTTAAAAATTCAGGATTTTAGGACAGAAGTGAGAAGGTATTTTTTCCTCAAAAGGAACTTTGTCTCAGACACTGGAGATGGGGTCATTGATATTTTAGCGGGTAGATTAATTCCCTTGCCTGACAAGAATCTAAGATTATCAGCAGTATATTGGAATTCGAAACACAAACAGATCTTGTGAATGGTGCTGCAAGCTTGAGCAGCTGAATGGCCTACTTCTGCTCCGAATATGTTCAAATAGGAACTAATTTCAGTTAACAAGAACAAAAAAGTGATAACAGAACAGAGTTTGGCACAGTAATGGCATGGGCTATAAAAACGTGGAAGACCAAGTGTGCAGTTAAATAATCAAGTCCAAAGATAACAATCGTGTGACAAGTTTGCTAAGTTGTCAAGCAATGTTACAGAGCTAGAAATAGATGGTCTCAATAGTGATGCAGTATGTATATACTAAGTAGTTAATTTTGGGTCATACATAAGATTGCAAACTGCCTAGTTTAGACTCAAAATGTTGTTGCACACGTATCACAGCACAGAGGTCTCTCCAAAGGCTTTTCCAAAGCCATGTTTCTGTAAGCAGCAGGTAGATCACAGTACACAAAGCTAATGATTTCATTTTCCAAGAAACCACATGGTTAAATACCCTTTTCAAATCCAGAAAGTATCCAAAAAGTTCCATATCCTAGTCCACAAATATCCATTTCCAATAATGCTGTGCCTCATACACCATACAGAAAAACTAGCAAGAAAGCAGGAAATACAAACGGCTATGTGTAAACATGATTCTTACCTTATTGTATACTGAGGACAACATGTTCGATTCATTGTGGGTTTATAAACATACATACCACTCCTGAAATAGATTAAACTCTATGTTAGAAGATTATACAGCTATAATGTAAATGAAATTCACACATCACTAAACAGACTAGGTTTCCTGCAGCATACACCAACAGATAGGTAAATGATCAACTGCTCAGCTTCTGTTCAAGTCAGTTGGGAGAAGCACAATGTCGGAATAAATTAACACAAGAATTTTCCTTTTTATGATGAATTCACTTGGCTTACTCTCCCTTCATTAACTGTAGGTTTTTTGGAAATTCCATCCACACAGTGTCAAGCCGGCCAAATGGTTCTTTTGCCAGACAAGATGATGCCCGTATGGATAGGAATCAATCACTCTGTACCATTCAAACTCTCTCCTCTGCTCTACTTCATTAACACCACTGTCAGTCCCCATCTGCCTTTTGTTCATTCCAAGCTCCAAACATGTTGTCTGACATGCTACTTTTTTTTTAAAAAGGAAAAAAAAAGGGGATTGGTTAGCTCAGTTGACTTGATACTGGTTTGCAATGCACATGACTTTCTTGACTTTGCATCAAGAACATATAGCTTGTGATTACCTATTTTTCTTTGGTAATGTGGTTTAGAATTACACTATAATGCTCCATAGAATCACAATTAGCTTATCACAGTTTAAATTTTACAGACAAAATCACTTAACTAAATAGGATGGGATCCACTTGCTGCTCAAATTAGCTTGTAAAATGAAAAGTTAGGAATCATAAATGCAGCACACTGTACCTCAACAGGTCAGAATTTTAGCGCACACACAACATTAGAACAAGAACTTGAAAAGTTTCAGTACTAAACTTTGAAGGACTGTTAGGAAAAAAAAAACTTGGAAAGAAAAGAGTAATGTAACTAAAACATACTATTAATCCTTAACTGATAAAGGTCATCATGATAATTTGAATATCTTTTATTGTCACTTACATTCAATATAAAATAGTGAAAAGCGCGTACCATTGCTTGTACATAAGCACCATTCACAGAATTTTTTTTAAAAAAAATCCAACTTTTCCTTCTCTACTGCTACAGCATACCACTGCCAGGGTCCCACTCTGGGCCACACCAGCTCACACCATGCTGCCGAGAGAATGACCCGCTCTGGGCTTCCCAGCCCACGCTATACCGCTGTCAGGGGCCTACTCTGATGGAAATGAGAGTCCTGCTCCAGGTTTCACAGGCTGACCAACCATGTCCACAGCCATACTGCCTCTGAAAAACACCGCCACCGCCGATCTGGAGCCCAGGAGTCCAGCTCCTGCTGAAGAGCTCTCTTTATCAGGTAAGTTTGAGGAAAGAGAAGGGGTAGAAGGAAACAGGAAAAAAGAAAAACACTGGTGAGAAGGACAAGCCCAGATACAGGAGCCCGAACGTTGCCTATTCTGCTGCCGCCATTTTGGAGCTGCTTTTTTCTGCGGCTGCAATCGATGGTAGAAAGGGAGCTGGTGTTTGGGAGTTTGTACAAGAAACAAAAGGACTTTATTCAACATAAACGTCAACAGCTCAGAAGAGGATTTGTATTTGGTTTCATTATGGTCAACATGTGGAAAACTACTGAGAATGAGAAAAGTTCAAGTAGACATAAATATCAACACTTTTATTCATGAACATAATTAAGATGCAAAATTAGAATGGAGTGCAGCTAAAACAGAGTGTAAACCTGAGTAGGGGAGTTGAGGAGAGAAAGGGTGCTCCTTTCTTTTTCTCAGTTTTTCAGCATCTAGAAGAGTGGCAGTTGAAAAACTACAAGGGAACAGAGTGTGCAAGAATTCAGTTCTTTGCACAGAGAACTGGGGAAGAAGCTGAGAACTGAGTAACTGGTAAGTTATTAAATTGTAATAAATAACTTTTCAACAACTAGGTTATGGCAGGTGCATTCTCCCAAGCAGAATAGACATTCTGCAGTAATTAACACTGCGTGTCCTAGATGAGTGCATCTGCAGGAAGTGTCACTAGTTGTAGAAGCTTGAGGTCTGGATTCCAGAACTGGAGTATGATTGTCCACCTTGGGAATTCCATGTCACTGGTCCTGGGTTCTGTGGGTCCTTGCATAGCTAATGAACCCGATCCTATAGTTGCATTTCCAACCAAACACTTGGCAGGTGGAACTGGTCTCGAGATTATTGGAATTCCTTTCTCCGGTTCCTTCTCTGTACGTCCTCCAGCTGCCAGGTGTTTTCAAAGAATTGTGTCCCTTCATTCAGGGGTTTCTCCAAGTCAGTTTCTTCTGAATAAGGGTCTCCTACGCATCTATGTTGCATTTCTTGAGGGAAGCCTTCAGGGAGTCTTTGAAACACTTCCTTTGTCTTCCTCTTGCTCGAATGAGCTCGGTGAAGAAGATTGCTTCAGTCGTCGGAAGTCAGGCATCTTAAAGCATGTGGCCAACCCAGTAGAGGTGGTTTTAGATGATTGTGGCCTCAAAGCTGATTTTGTTAACTGCTTCAAGGGTGTTGATGTTAGCATGCCTGTCTTTCCAGGTGATGCTGAGACTTGGTCCCAAACAACATTGATGGTACTTCAAGAGTCTTGAGGTCTGTATGTAGTCTAAGTTATGGAGCCATATAGAAGATGACTTCTTCAGGATGACTGCCTTATACACAAGGATCTTGGTGTCAGTATGGATACCACAGGTTGAAGATTCTCATCCTTAAGTGTCCAAAGGCAGCATTCATCAACTGGATATGATGTTGAAATCTCTGCATCAATACCAGCCTTTAATGAGAGACAGCTTCACTGGTAGAGAGAGTATTCCACAATTGAGACAATTTCTCCATTGATCTTAATGAAGGAATGGACCAGAACTTGACTTGGAACAAATCCCTTGATAAGGGATTTGAGTCTTTCTGTTGAGGCTGAGACCAAGACTAATTCTTCTGTTTTCGCAAAGGCATTAGGACAGGCTTGACGATTCTCTTAGAAGGTTAGAGATGACATCGTCACCCATGCTCAAGTTCCATAAGTGAGGCTAGTATCATTTTCTTCTTGGATTTCAAACAGTTGAAGTTGAAAGTTTTCCATCCATCCTGTAGACAATGTTTACAGCACTGGGAAGCTTGTTCTTGTAAAGATGAAGAATGGTGATGATGCAAGTGGATGAAAGGGTTGGGGGAAACAATATATCCCCATTTCACCCCTGTCTTGACCTCAAAATGATTTCATCATATTACCATCAGTGGGAACCATCATCGACATCTTGTCATGGAGGAAACAGAGGACGCTGATGAATTTCACTAGACATTTAGAGGAGTGGTCACACCAAGTTAGGAGTGTACAGACAGAGAATGTATATCTACCAGGGTGTCTAAGAGAACCAGGCAAGAAATACAGAAGTTCAATTTTACTTATTAAATCAGATTTCTATGTTGGATAATTAAGGGAGATCCTCAGGGGAGTGCAGCCAAAGACGACTCTCTGTGGAATCACAGGAGGAAGAAGAGTGAAAGAGCAATAGTAATAGGGGATCCCATAGTCATGGTATTAGATAGGTGCTTCTACGACAGTAAGTGTTAACTGTAGCATTGTGCGCTGCCTCTCTGGTTCCAAGGAATACTGCAACGAATAACTCAATCATAACTCCCAAAACCCTGTCCACCATCTACATGCCTCAAGTCAGCCACCTCCCAACCCCCCCAACTCCCCCAACCCCCTGCACCACCTTCCATTTGCCTGGATGAGTGCAACTCCAACAACACTCAAGCTTGACGCCACCAAGGACAAAGCAACCCACTTGACTAGCACCACATCCATAAGGATGCACTCCCTCCACTACCAATGCTCAGTTGCAGCAATGTATACTATCTACAAGACGCACTGCAAAAATTTGACAAGATCTCTAGACAGCCCCTTCCAAATCCACAATGACTTCCAAGTAGAAAGACAACAGCAGCAGATACACGGGAACACCAACACCTGTAGGTTCCCCTCCAAGCCACTCACCATCCTGATTTGCAAATCTATCACCATTCCTTCACTGTTGCAGGGTAAGAATCCTAGAATTCCCTATCTAACAATACTGTGGGTCTACCTACTGCACATGAATTCCAAGGAAGTAAATCACCACCACCCTCTGAAGGGCAACAAATCCAACTAGCCAGCGACACCCACATCCCAGAGGAGAATAAGAAAATTTGAAGAGACACTGATTAATTAGGGATAGTCAATATGGATTGTTAAGGGAGTTATGTTTGTCAAATTGAACCTTTTTTTTAAGAAAGAGGAGATAACCAGGTGTGTTGAGGGTAATGCATTTGATGTGGTCTACATGGACTTTACCAAGGCTTTTGAATACGGCCCCGCATAGCAGACTGGTCAAGAAAGTAAGATCCTATGGGATACAAGGGAAAACAAAAATGTCGGTTCCAAAATTAGGAGAGAGGCAGGAAGTAGAAATTTATTAGCTAAAAACATTGAATACATGTACAGGGGAGATTACACGGAAAGTATATAAAACCTAGGTTAGGCCACAACTGGAATACTGCATGCTGTTCTGGTCACCACATTATAGGAAGGATGTGATTACACTAGAGGGTCCAGAGGAGAATTATCATGATGCTATCTCGGCCAGAAGGTCTGAGCCATGAGGGAAGATTGGATGGGCTCGGGCTGTTTTCCTTGGAGCAGCTAAGGCTGTGAGGGGACCTGATTGTCCCCCAGTTTTATATGATTCTTGGGTAGGTTGAATAGGAAGGCACCTTTCCATTAATAGAGGGGTCAATAGCCACAGGGCATAGATTTAAGGCAAGAGATAGATGACCAAGAGGAGAGTCAAGGAGAATCTTTTTTATCCAGAGGTTGGGGGAAGTATCTGGAGCTCTGTCTAAAAGCGTGCTCAAGTCACAATATTTTAGTAGTATTTAGGTATTTACTTACGTTATCATAGTATCCTGGACTAAGGCCTGGAAAATGGGATCAGTGTAGTTATCTTTCTTGACTAGTGCAAACTCAATGAGCAGAATGGCCTCCTCCTGTGCAGTAAACACCTATGAGTTTAATAAGTCTTTACCACAAGAGGATTTGAGTACCAAGGGATAGAAAAGTCTTGCTTCAATTGTATAGGACCTTAGTTAGATTGCACTTGGAGTATTTCTGTACTATTACCTAAAGAAAATGTGAGACATTGTAATAGGATTCTCTTTACCAACTCACTCACAAGCACACTATGTTTACTATATTGCGTTTCCATTCACAATCCACATTTTTGTAGGATATTTTATAAACTAAATTAAACATCCCTTCTAACCCATTACTGTTTCTTTACACCTTTCAATTCTTAAAATCAGCCAATGCTGCAGCAGTGTTTAGAATTGTTTCTGTATCAAAGCTTACCCCTGAATAAGTGTTAATGCCGTAACCTACTCAGAACAATGCCATCCTCACCATCGTGTCTCCACAACCCACTCGAAACTACGGAAAGATTATGCTATTAAATTAGTCCTTAGCAACCATCTCTTGGGACCTGAATAGGTTGTAGACATCAGTTTCCTCAACTAGTATGTAATTTTTAGATACATATTAAATAGGGCTGCTACTACCTTTAAGAAACTTACCATCAAAACAGTGCTTTCATGAAACTGCATGAATGAATATGTAAGAACTGTTTAAACCAGCAATAGTAAATGAAATCTCATGACCTAGCTACAGGAGATCAGTTTAATATCCTCTACACCTTTAATTTAGTACACGTATAATTTCTCACTTATTTAGATCACATAGGTGTAGTATTTTCACTAACATTACTAACTTTTAAAAAAAGGACTAACACTTCTTAATTATGCAAGCTCAGGCGGGACAGACATTCTAAGCCCATCAAGGGTAACAGCCAGCATTAAACAAGTGCTTAAACCATCTCCTGCTTCCCCAGGACAGATGTCACATAAACTTTCGCGTACAATATATACAACTACGCCTTAAATCAATGCCCCGTGGCTAGTGACCCCTCTATTAACGGAAAGGTGCCTTCCTATTCAACCTACCCAAGAGTCATGTAAAATTGGGGGACAATCAGGTCCCCTCAGCTTTAGCTGCTCCAAGGAAAACAGCCCAAGCCCATCCAATCTTCCCTCATGGCTCAGACCTTTCAGTGCTAAAATTTTAATGTATGCAAGAACTGTGTATAAAGAGGCTACTGTAAAACTACACTTCGGATTCCATTGCCACCTCAAACGGTGCTACTGCGGATGCTCAATAAAGAGGCTATTTTCATCACTCACTGATCTCGACTGTTATTGAAACACAATCCCACGGAAGAATATACTTGTCACAGACAGGGTGCAGTGAAGATTCACCAGACTTGTTCCTGAAATGATGGGAGTGTCACATGGAGAGATTGGGGCAAATGGACATGTATTCTCTAATATTTTGAAGAATGAGAGGTGATCACACTGAAGCTTAGACAATAATTAAAGCATAAACTGGGTAGATGCAGGCAAGATGCTTCCTCGGTTGGGGAGTCTAGAACCAAGGAATACAAAAATAAGGAGGATGCCAGTTAGGACCAAGCTAAGGAGAAAACTTTTTACTTAATGGGCAGAATGGCCTACTCCTGTTATGTTCCTGATCAAGAAGGCAAATGATACATTGGCCTTCATAACAAGGGGATTTGACTATGATTAAAAGATCTCTTGCTGCAGTTGTACTGAGCCTTGGTGAGATCTTCCCTGGCCTATGGTGTCTTTATCTAAGGAAGGGATGTACTTCTGAGGCAATGCAACAGCAGTTCTCTAGATTAATTCCTGGGGTAGGATGATTGTCTTATGATGTTTTGTTCAGATATTGAGGAGACTGGGTCTGTATTTCCTTGAGTTTTGCAGAATGCGGGCTGACCTCATTGAAACTTACAAGATTCTTAGATGGTATGATATAGACAAGATGTTTCCCCTCGTTATGGAGTGTAAAACCAGGGGAAATAATTACAGGATACTGGGAAGGCCATTTAAAATTGAGATAAGGAGGAATTTCTTCACTTGGTGAGAATCAGTGCAAGTGACTATTCCAAGAGCTGGAAACTTAGTCATTGAACACATTCAAGACAGAAATTTGTAGGTTTCTGGAGAGTAATGACTTGAAGGGTCATGGAATCAGACAGGATAGAAGAGGCTCTTCAGCCCACTGAGTTTGCATCAACAAAAACTACTCAAATCTATACTAGTCCCACTTTCCAGCACTTGAATTATCGCAACGTTTAAGGCTGTGGGTCAAGTGTTCATCCAAGTAATTTTTGAAGGTTGAGAGTTTGCCCACGTCAACTACCTTCCTAGGCAGTGCATTCCAAATTCCCACCAATCTCTGGGTGGGCAAGTCTTTCCTCAAATCCAGTATAAACCTTCTGCCTTTCACCTTAAAATTACATCCCCTTGTTATTAACCCTTCAGCTAAGGGGAACAGCTGCTTTCTATCCACCCTGCCCATGCCCCTTATAATCTGATACACCTCAATCTGGTTCTCTCTCAGCTCTTTAAAACAAAACAACCCCGAGCTTATTCAGCCTCTCTTCATAGAGAAGCTGCTCGATCCCATCATCCCGGTGAATCTGCGCTGCACTCTCTCCATTGCAATAACATCCTTCCTGTGATGTGGTGACCAGAACCACAAACAGCACTCCAGCTGTGACCTAATCAAAGTTTTGTACAGAAGACAGTGAAAGTGAGTGCGGAAATGTGGCATTGAGATAGATGATTAGCTGTGAATTAATTGAATAGGAGCATAGACTTGACAGGCTGAAAGGCCAATTCCTACATACATTCCCATATTTTTTCTTCATTCTGGGGAACTGGTGGCCTAATGGTACTATTATGAGACTATTAATCCAGAGAGCTAGGTAATGTCCTGGTAATGACCCAAGTTCAATCACACCATGGCAGATGGTGGGATTAAGAGTCTAATTACAACCATGGAACCATTGCCAACTGTCAGTAAAACCCATCTCATTCACTAACATTTTTTAGGGAAGGAAATCTGCCGTCCTTAACCAGTCTAGCCTACATGACTCCAGGCCCACAGTAAATAGCTGACTGTCGACTGCCCTCTGGCCTGACCAACAATGCCCACGTCCTGTGAATGAGTAGAAAAAATTGAGTTGGGTCAGCAATGGCACTCATGCCACAAAGTCACAGTTTACGCATTCAATCTGTACTTCAAAAACGTGGCCACAGAATTCATACTGATGCATCTGCAGGAACTGAGACAGTACTGTACCACTTGAGGCCTGATCTGGTCTCTCTAGTAAACAAAAGATTCCATGGCATTGTTCAAAACTAAATGATAGGCAAACATACAGAACGACATATCTCACTCCAGCAATGCCACTAAAACAGATTATTCAATCATTTGTCCTGTTCTTGTTTACAGAATCTATAGAATCATAGAATCCCTTCAGTGTGGGAGCAGGCCATTTGGCTCATCGGAGGGTTGGTGTGTACTTGAAGAACATCCAACCCATCCCTGTAACCCTGCGTTTCCCATGACTAATCCACCTAGCCTTTATATGCCTGGACACTGGACACTTTAGCGTGGCCAATCCACCTAACCTGTACACCTTTGGACCGTGGGAAGAAACTGGAGCAACCAGAAGAAACACACACAGACACGGGGAAAATGTGCCAACTCCACACAGACAATCGCCCGAGGCTAGAATTGTAGCCGGGTCCGTGGTGCTGTGCGGCAGCAGTGCTAACCACTGAGCTGCTCTTTTAAGGGAACATGCCAAATACAAACTGCTGCAATGTTTCCTAACACCAATTCAAAAGTATCTCAATGGTACAAGTCATTTTCAGATGCCTGAAGAACTGCAAGATCAATATGATGAAAATACAAATTCTTCAATACTGAATACAAACAGGCATTAATATACAATATAATCCAAGAATAGTACTTGCCTCCTCCACCCTCGGTCAATTAGATCTTGATAGTCCTGGACTGACATGGTATGAGCCCACATGCCTATAATATAAAATTTTTAAGTATTAATGCACACAAAACGAAAATAACAAATATTGTCACAAGTTAAGAATTCTCAGCAAAGCCAATTTGCCATAATTATTATGAAAATTACAACATAAACACAAACTGTTGCAGTTTTCCTTCAAACTTTGCTGAACTGGCATTTTACACATCAATTTCTATGCGTTTTGTCGTCTCCCTGCACTACTCATCTGGTGGTTACAGATCTCCCTCTCCACTTCCCGCAAAGAACATATCAGGATTTGTTTTAATCATGAGTGACACTGTGCTGGACAGTTTACATGTGTGCTGCATTATACGCAGATGCTCCACAAAAGCCAGAAAATCAAAACTAAATTGCACAAACCAACTCAGCCAACAGAATTAAAACAGGTCACTTGACATTAATGGATATGAACACAATAGGGTAGATGTGGAGGAGATTTATGAAGATATTGTGAATAAAAAAAGATAAACTAGATAAGACGGGGGGGGAGGTGAATATACGTTCTCTATCAGAATGGAGGTGTTATTGAATCTGTATTTGACTCCTTCAATTAAGACAACCTTTTGGCATGAAGGTCATTAACCAGTTATGGGACAGATTTAAAATCATCAGGATAAAGTCTAGAGGGAAGATAAGAAAGCTTTTCATTCAGAGTTTTCAGGATCTAGAATATCACCAAATAACATAGTTGAAGCCTATTCCACAAAAGGATTTGCAGGACATTGAAGAGATACTTAAGGATGACGAAAATTACAGTCAAAGGACAGGAGACTGAAAACAAATGCTTTTTCAAATAGCCAGAACAGGTACAGCAGCCACATGGTCTCTAATCATGATACAAGTTTCTATGATTTTTTTCAGTATGATAATTGATTCTTGAGTCAATACTGCAACCCTACTGCTTCTCTAATCTTCCTGAGCATCAAGATCTCAATCTTCACTTTCTTTGATCCAGGTCTCTGTTGTTGCCACTATATCATAGATCCATATGCTGAACTGTGCCTGCATACTGTATACTTACATGGCTATATACCAAATTGTGCCTATACTTCAATAACCATATTTACAATACTGTATAATTATGTACGTGCACTCCAAACCCATCTCCGACTGCTTTGCATTTGCCCAGTTTGATCTCCCCATTTCAAGTTATTCTTTGCTCTGTTGCCATTTGTCCTTCCTAATTCTCTTTCTACCTCGTTTCTCCTCTCCACTGTTTCATGGTGGTTGTCATTCCCTCTGCCAAATTAGTCTAGATTCTCCTTTACAAGAAAAGATATTTTCCCCAAGATAACAATGGCCCGTTTGGTTGAGTGCATTGTGTCTCCCCAAATAAGTCACAATGCCCCAGGTGTCTGAAACCCTCCCTTCTACACCTCCTCTCCAGTCAGATTAGTCATTTGAAGTAATTCAGAAATTAATTATCATCTCATTTAAAAATATCCTTGCCTGCTTCTGAAATTCTGACTAGTGAACCCTTTTCCTTAAATCAATAAAATTCTACATTTTTAAAACAAGTTATAAATTAACTAATCCAAGCAAAATGTTTTAGCAAGGTTTTGCAATGCTTTATTATCTTGTCATAGGGTCTGCTTCCATGTTGAATGACTCTTCGGTCCAACTCTTCTGCACCATCCAGACATTCCAGTCTGACCTAGTTCCATTTGCCAGCATTTGGCCCATATCCCTCTAAACAGTTCCTATTCATGTACCCATCTGATGCCTTTCAAAATGTTAAAACTGTACCAGTCTCCACCACTTCCTCCGGCAGGTAGTTTGATACACGCACCACCCTCGGTGTGAAAATGTTACCCCTCAGGTCCTTTTTAAATCTTTCCTCTCTCACCTTAAACCTATGCCGTCCAGTTTTGAACTCCCCAAACCTAGGAAAAAGACCTTGGCTTTTCACCCTATCCAGGCTCCTCATGATTTTATAAACTTTTATAAGGTCACCCCTCAACAGCCAATGTTCCAGGGAAAAAAGCCTCAGCCTTTTTAGCCTCTCCCTATAGCTCAAGCCTTCCAATCCTAGCAACAGCCTTATAAATCTCTTCTGCACCCTCTCAAGTTTAACAACATCCTTCCTTTGGAAGGGCACCAGAATTGTACGCAGTATTCTAAAAGTGGCCTCACCAATGTCCTGTACAGCTGCAACAATGTCATCCCAACTTCTGTACTCAATGTTCTGACCAATAAAGGCAAGCATGCCAAACGCCTTCTTCACCACCCTGACTACCTGAGAGTCCAAAGGGTAGATTCAAAGACATGGGTAAAGGGAGGAACTTGCATACAGCAAAGAACAGGAGTAGGCCATTCAACCTGACAAGATTGCTCTGCCAACTAATAAGATCATGGCTGATCTGATTATGACTTCAAATCAACATTCCTGCCCATCTGTGAACCTTACACCTATTGTTTATCAATAGTCTATACACCTCTGCCTTCAAAATATTCAAAGACTGCTCCGCTACCTTTTCAGGAAGAGTTCAAAAGAACTCTTAAGAGGAAAGACTTGTCTCATCTCAGTTTTAAATGGGTGCTCTGATTTTTATATAGTGAACAATTCCCTAAAAATTTCTCTCACTCTTTGAAATATTTCTTTGTGCATTCAGTGCCATCCCTTTAGAAGTCTGCCATTACATCTCCACTTACCTGTCTTTAACCTAATTTCACAATTCAGTTTGGCCTGGTGTGCTCTTGCGTCCACATAATTTCCTGCATATTTTTTAAAATAGTCTCACATCGACTCCTAACTCCCTCAAACAGAATATAAAATTCTATCGTATTAGGCCACTGCTAGATGGGGGCATTTTCACTTAGAGATCATTAATCAATCATGTCTTGTTGCACAATAACCACCCTTAATGTAGTCTGTACTCAGGCTGGCTCCAGAACATGCAGTACAAAGAAACAATCATAAAAATATTCTCTGAACTCACTTAGGCACCCTGGCTTATCTAACTTTTCTAGATATGAACCGATCCAACTCAGTGTTTAGAATAATTTTGTTTACAAAAGCATATTTGATAATATTTACATGTATAACAATTTTAGAAAAGTTACAACAAAACAATCATCTTGAAGAGGAAATACAGCTTTCCACACAAACTACTCCACATCTTATTCTTTTAATACAAAAAAAAAGGTAAAGTCGCCACAATTTTACCAGACCATAGGGCTGCTCTCCCTTTGGAGAGGCAACTGGGAGTGGATTAACCTGAGGGTCATGTTTCAGGAGAGGGGAAAGGATAAGGTCAGTCCTTCACAGTACCCTCAGCTGGTATGGGAACTGAACCCAAGCTGTTGGCATCACTCTGCATTGTAAACTGGCCGTCCAGTCAACTGAGCTAACTGATACCCAATAGTCTCTTAATTTTACACAGAATCCACTCACTGCCAGCAAAACCAGTGTTCAGATACCTATTCCCATAAATGTTATTAAGTCCAACTTATGCATTGCCAATGCATCACGGGCCAAGGAATCGATGCACAAAGCCTGCCAATCAGCTATTCAGGGAATAAAGAAAGAGACGAAGTCAGAGAAGATTGAAAAAATGTAAACAGGAGCTTGATTGTTGTCACATTTTTTTCTTTGAATTACTTCTTCAATGAATAGTCACTGAAGAAATAAGTTGCCGTCTAAATATCACAGAAGTTGTATTGAAGCATCAAGAAAAAGTCAGTACAACTGGTAAAGGGAGTAATAGATAAATCAGCATTGCTGAAATCCCATGATCTCCCCTTTATAAAAGTTACCATAGTCCCAGAGAACAATAGCGCTACTCTCCCATGAGACACACACAACTGGTCATTTAACCAGTGGGTCACCATGCCTCAGTCAGTTAGCTGGATAACCGGCTTTTGACGTAGAATAATGCCAACAGCACAAGTTCAATTCTTGCACCATCTGATCTTACCACGAAGATCCCACCTTCTCAACCTCCTCCCTCACCCTAGGTTAAACTCATCACCATTGGTCTCTCTCTAATGATTAATTATTGAAAATTAATGATAAACAGAAATTTTAATGAAAACGGACACTAGAATTGTGAGTTAATTGAGAAGTCTCTCATTCATACAGCTGTCTTTAGTTGGCCAGTGGAAAACTAAGGCAGTGGTTCTCATGACAGAATCCATACAAACTGTCAACCCTCCAGGGGTCAAGTAGAATAATGTCACTAAATCCTGTTTCTAGCAAGACATGTGGGAGGAATCACTGGATAGCCATTGGGAAAAAAGTAGTGCTGGAAATATCAAAATGGATTAATGGGGTTCTGACTGTCAGGGAACCCTGAGTGAGGAGATAGTCATAGAAGCAACAGTAAAAGCAGGGGTGGGGATTGGGCAGCTTTGTACAAGGATCTAGAATATTTCTTAAACCGAGCTTCATGGCCTCAATTCTGATAGCAACCCAATCATAAGAATGCCACATACCAAGTAGCAAATGATACCCCAGTGATACCCGAGTGCAAACAGCCAGTAAACGGCATCTTTCAGTTGATGAATTGATAAAGGTTTTCATATTACGAATCACATCAATATTCGCTATGTAAATCCATCCTGTAAAACACTTATGGAAGTCACTTCAAGAGGTCACCAATCTTACCTTCTGAAATATAACAGCACAATGAGTTTATTACAAATTTAGTTTGGTGCAGGTATGTGGTTATGAATCCATTTGGAAAATATCCTTCACCTAAAAACGTTTGAGAAACATGGAGTCCTGACATGAACTTTGCAAACAAAACAGAGGGGGAAGGAGTCTCAAATGCAAGAGTTTGCGTGGTCAGTGACAGCTTCAGTTGAACACCTCAATCTTTGTATAATTGCACATGCAGCTGGCCTGACCATGTAGGACCAAGGGCTCAGGCAATAACTGACCAATTTTAACCCTTTGTTTCATTTAATCAGGTTGCTTTCAGCTTAAGGTAACAGACAATGGGAATAAAATTTCAATAAACAACTACACAAGTGAGTAGTAATTTAGGGGTAGAGCAAGGTTGAGTCCAACTGAATTTCTGAACAAACTTTTGTAGTTCAATGGAAACATCTTCTCATCCTCCGACACTTCCGCCATCTGCAATCCGACGCCACCACCAAAGACATTTTCCCCT